TGTAACCCCCGGGTGTCGCACAGAAAAATGCGACACTTAACTCTACACCGTGTAAGAGGCCGTCGGAAGGGTAACTACGGTGATAGGATCAAAATTGTTATAGGGAGTGAAGACCAAGCCATTGTCAAAGTCAGATCAATTCTCAGTATTTTTGGTCTGGATTTTATCACTCAAACTCATCCAATGAGCATAACAGGAAATTTCGCGCGAAGATTCTGTTTTGATCAAGCATACAATAAGGTTGCAAAAGGAATTGTTAGATCTAGCGATATCAAGGCCATTGGAGCAGTTAGGATACCTTTCTACAGGTTCAATCAGAGAATAGATCAGCTCGCGAAAGGATGGAAGACAAACACTGTGACAGTCTGGAAAGTCAGGAGAGTTCGCTTCAACCATGCTGCTTTCAGGATCAAAATAGGATTGAAGGAGGTTCAGATGGCCATTTCGCGAAATAGGATTGCTCTTACAGGCGTGAATGAAGCTGGAATACCTGCAGATATTTTCAAACAGATGTTTTGTCTAATCGCGAAAGGACTTACTAAACTCTTGGCATTATTTGGGGCAAGAGGGATTCAAAATTGTTCTTGTCAGAAAACGGCCATGAGGATTAGGCTTAAGTTCAATTTTTGCTCTAGTCTTTCAAAGAGTTACATACCTGTTTTCCGATTAACTTGGAATAATTGGATCCAACAGAATGTAACCACCAACATTTGGCTCCCAGAAATCAGTACCATGGATCGCTCCAACTCTGTTTTCATCAGAAACGATATCTTGGACATTAGAAATAGTGCAGGGGAGGCCATCGATGTGGTTAGGAAACATGCTTACAGTGTCAATCAAACAGAAAATCAGTTCGCGATTGGTCAGGGATGGAAGATAAGCTCTTTGGAAGCATTCTCAAGGAAGGGTAGCTGTACCAAGTTGACTGGAGGGAGCAAGAATAAGAGGATTAAATTGGAAGGAGTCATCCTGGAAGCGAGTCGATTGAAAATGATACAAATAACTAGCGCCAGGCACTACCACTTAAGAAGACATCAACAGGATCACTTGGGTCTCCTTGCCAATGACACCATCATACTCACTCTTTACCTCTTGATTCCCCCTTTTCCAGGGTATCATTGGTTCATTTTCCTTCAGTTTGCTTTTGTTTTCATTTATTTCGTTTTGCCTCAGAACGTTTGGACATCACCGATCACCTCTCCATCCCTCAAACACTGCCCAGCAACTGTCCAGATGCAAGAAAAGTGTCTGAAAGGAACAAATATCAATGATGGCATTAATTCAGAGCCATTGACTGCTTTTGGTTGCTACCAAAACATCGATCCTGGGACTTGTCTCAACTTTATTTCATTCTACAACAAAATTGCACGGATCTGCGCGACTTTTGAACTGTTTATGGGAGGAAGGCTACCAGCAACAACCACAGCCCTTCAGCAAGTCCAGTTTCTCAGCAATTAATTAATTCACTGTCACCAAGAATTTTCCAGGCATCCATTCATCAATGATCAGCACCAACATGTACATCATTAAGCCTCATTCATTTCATTTTCTCATCAATTAATCAATTCAGCTTCCTCAAGGATTTTGGGAGGAATCATCCATCAACCACATCCATCCCATCTGTGAATCTTGGACAATGCTCATACATCACCAGATCATCACCTTCATGAATCATCATAAATCAATTTATCAATTCTCCTTTCAGGAATCATGCATGCACCTCACTTTTTTTCCATCCTCATCAGCAATTTTTGGAATCAATCATTCCTTCCATCCAACATCATGAACCCAACATCATGAACCACTTCAACATCATTCATCCATCAATTATTCTTTCATCCACCATGTAGATTACTCTTACATTTTCAATCATCAACCTTCATTGGCAATGAACACCACCTTTCCTCCATCAATTTTTCCTTTCCTCCAACATCATCAATCATCTCAACAACCTTCACCCATCAATTCAACATCATCAACCATTTCAACATCCTTGATCCATCAATATTGATTCCATCCACTATGTACACACATCTTTTATTCAACACACCACCTTTGCAGAATCAACCATCATCCTGAATTCTTATTCTTCCATCACCACCATGATCAGCCAGTATTATCCCCTCATCATTTTCCATGAATCCATCAATCTCCTTTCAACCATCATATCATCTGTTTCTCTGGATCCAGTCCTCACTTTCTCATCACTATTCTGGAATACCATCTTCTTTTCTTTGGATCAGTCTTCCTCCCACTGCTTGGAGTTCATTAAATATTTCCAGCCATGTTTTTCCAGCACTAAACTCCAGCAAACTTCATTTTTCACTATCCATCCTTTGAGTAATCCCCAACTAGTACCTTCCACATCATTTATCAGTACATTTATCTGATTTACATTAGTGCACATCCATAATCATCCATCAGCCTTCATAATTAGAAACACAGTAACATCTAAATTTCCAGATATAATTACATCATCATTTCCCAGGTTTACAATTCCCAGTTATAACATGCTCAAACTTTTATCAGTATGCTTTTATTAAATTCTATACTAAGGACACCAGAACATCATCATTAGCTTTTTACAGGCCCAGTTGGCTTTTGTAATAGTAATTTTTAGGGTTAGTTTTACAAGCTGAGACAGCTTTGTATTAGACCATTTGCCAGTATTATCCCTTAGTTAGAAAATCTTATCAGGAGAATTTAAAATAGTAGTAGTTATAGTTGAGTTATGTACACTCAAGATTTATTTTATAATCATCATCAGGTCTTTTGGATCAAGACTTCATCTTCTTTTGGACTCTTTTGGATTGGACTACTTGGATTGGACTTCTTTGGATTGGACCACTTGGACTGGATCTTTTCAGGAGTGGACTTCTTTGGAATACTATCTTTGGATTGGCCTTCTTTGGACTTGGACTTTTGGACACAGGATTGGCTTTCAGGATCACAGGACTCTGAGGACTTTTGCTTTGGGCCACTGGACAACTTCCATGGATTTTTCTTTCTTCATTCTTACTCTCCATTTCACTTTTTCCCCTTTCTTTTCTTTTCCTTTCTTTCCTTCAGTTGTCTGGGGTCAGACAATAAGTTGGGGGAGGATGTGGTATGTCTAGAGATGGTCGCGGATAATCCGCTGCGGATATCCGTTATCCGCTGGCGGAT